CTCCCTAAAAACTGTACCTGCAACGAACATTATTATCAGCCCCCGCACACCGTCCCCACCGTCCAGCAACCACTATCATTATCACCGGCACTCAAGCAGACAGAATTGATTATTTGTTTTGTTTTATCAATAGTTAATGTTTATTGAAATTTCCTCTCTAGGTGGTCAGTGAATATGCGCTTGCTCAAGCGGGCAAATACAAAAATGTAGTTCGTGTCTTTACAATGTAATAAGAATATGTGGGTTGCTATTTGGATTCATGGGGTGTTTGGGGGGTGGGGGAGGGGGTTACAAGGTGTTGGGTGTTACACGGGGTGGGACTTAGCAGAACTTCCAGCGATTGCCGCACTCGTTGCACATGACAAAAGTGGTCATGGGCTCGTCGGCGGAACGTGTCTGCAGCTGGTTGTAGGTGCAGTTGCGCTTCTTGCATTTGCCGCATTTAAGGAGATCTGTCTTGGTGCCCTGTACGGTGGCCAGCTGGGCATCGTTGATGGCCTCCTTGACGAACTTCTCGCGCAGCTTCTTCATCTCGTCGCTGGCCATCTCCTCGGGAGTCATTTTGGCCAGCTGCTTGGCAGAGACGGCGCCGCACATGAAATTTCCACGCAGACCCGGATTCTTCAGGTCCTTCAAGTTGGCCACACGCGAACGAATGCGATTCTTGTACTTCATGTCGGTATTCTTGAACTCCGAGTAAATGGCATCCTCTAGCTCGGCGGCCATTTCCTCGGGCTCGGCACAACCTTCGGGCACCTCACCGATCTTCAGCGCGGTGGTCAGCATTTCGCGGCACTTCAAGCGCACGGCATCCGTCATGCCGCCGGAGGGGAAGGAAGTCTGTGACGACGATACCTTCTTCTCATCGCGCTTGTCACGCGACGAAGAGCTGCTGCTGCTGCTAGACTTCTCCTTGCTGGCCGACTTGCTGGAACTCGATGACTTGGATGCACTATTGTTGGAGCTCTCCTTGCCGGCGGCAGTGCTGTTGTTTGGGGTGGCTGGGGCCGGGCTGGGCAGAAAGCGTTTCCAGTTCTTGATCAGGGTCTTGGCCAGGGCAATCACCTCGTCATCCTTGCTGCTCTTGCGCAGCTCGTTGACCGTCATGCCGATGCGCGTTTTGGTCAGAATCTCCAGGTTAATGTTCAGCGTTTGCAGTGCCTTCAGCAGATCCAAAGCCTGTTCCTGTCCCTGCAAGTGGGACGGTGGGGGGAACAGAAAAAATAACTAACAAAACAAGTCCATGGATGTGTGGGGGTCTCTACTTACCGAGCCATCGCTAGACGTTGATATCTTGCTCATTTTTTTCTGAATCCGAAAAACTTCATCCTCCACGCTCATTTTGGCCGCCAGAAACTGTAGCGTATATGACAGAACAAAATTAAGGTTAACGGCGTTCCTTCGCTACGTGCAATTAGTTTCAACAATTCAGCAGCAACTTTTCTTTGACGTTTAAACGGAGAATTACACTTTTTCCCTCCAATAAAAATTGTTTACCTGATTTTTTCTTCTTTATGTATTAGAGCTGGAGAAACATCGATGCTTTGGGTGCTGTTGTCATCGATGTTTTCTGTCAGCTACACAGGGGTGAAATTTTCAGAGAGGCATCTGACGGTCAAAAAAAAAAGTTCACAATTTGTATAGAATTTCTTTTTAATATGCGCTCAAACTACAATCTTTTTGTTAAATTAATTATTCAACTTATTTATTTATTTATTGGACACAATTAAATAATGAATATTCAGCAGAAAACTAAAATATGACTAACTATCGATTAAAGGCACAATTACTTAATCGATGTATAAAATGGCCGACAATGCGGCGATATTTAAACTTCATCGTTTCTTGCTCCTCCCATCCTTCCCTTCCCGTGTAGCGAACCGACAAAGTGTGTTCTGAATCTTCAAGATCGCAGCTAATTCAGCTTTATTGAACTGTGCAACTATTGGACAGGTGAGTCTTGCACTGCTGAGAATGTTTTGGCAGTGATTGCAAATAATAGAAACCCATAAAATGACCAGATATATGTGTGTGTGCCGTCGAGATGTTTGTGAACTGTGCTAAACGGTGCATAGAGCATATAAAACGCAAATAAATGTTCAATTCACAAATGCACATCATACCAACGTGTAGTTGATCAAATGTTGCGCGGTGAAATTCCCATTAAAGAATCTGGAAGCATCTTTTTATTGAGCCTTTCCATCCTATTCGCCTATCGTCCGTTTTCCCTTGACGCAGTTGTCCGTTGCATTTACCGCAATGTCTTAGAGTTGCCGAAGCGCCATTTCATGGTTTTCTGTGCAAACTTGAGCAATTAACCCTACATTTTGACAATTGCGACAGCCCTGCTGGCCGTCGCTGATCCACGTTTCCTTTTCTGCATGTCCGTTCTTTCAATTTTTTAACTCGAATAGCAAAGACGTGTCCGCGCGGAGAATTTAACAGAGGAAGTAGAAAGTGTTAAATATATAATCTGGGTGGTTATTTGTGCACAATATATTCGTGTTAGGTGAGACACACTTTATTAACTATTTATCTATATAAAATTTAGATCAGAAATCATATTTGATCAACATTTAAGATATTTCCTGTGCATGTGTGTGCGTGATTTACATGCACATGGAACTTCATGCTGATTTATTTTAAAATCCGCTGTTTTATGCAAACGTGCTTTAAATATTGTGAAAATATATAATTAAAATATTAATATTTAATAGTTTAGTACCCCCAACAATCATTTAATAAAGAATTATTAACATTTTTACCGAGAGCTGGTGTAAAGCGTTACTTCGTTTACGGCGGGTACTCCCTTTTGGTGTCTCTCTTTGTGTCTGCATTCTTCGGCGCATTGCGAAATTGGCGTTTGTGTGCAAGTTAGGCAAGATCCAATTCACGAATACTTCATGATAGCGTTTAGTTTAGTTTCTTATGGTTGGTTTCTGTGTGGGTTTGTAACTAATTTGGCCGCTTTTGCATGTCCCATCCCAGGCAGCGTCATGTATGTGTGCGATTACTTAATTTTTCCCTGGCATATTAGTGTAATATTAGTTAATTTGCAAATATTAAGCTTGTGTTTTATCCAACTTAATCATACATACAAATAATATATTTAACAATTTAACAGGCCCCCCAGAAGCAGATGCTCATTGTGTGTGTTTTATTCTTTTCCCCCCAGTATTGCTGGCTCAAGGAAATATTCTTAAATATATCCGATCCCTTATCTGAAACGCTTTCATTAAAGAATAATGGTAGTAGCTTCTAGGTTCTAGCAGCCTTTCGGCAGACCCCTGCTCGTGTTCCTTTGTGTGCGCGGCGCGTCGCCTGATCATTGTGTGCGTGGCGACGCCTGATCATTGTGTGCGTGTCGAAGCTTAGCTTTTAGCAACGTTCTTCTAGAAATTTCCATCTCTTACCCCCCTCCCACGACCATCATTTTCAAGAATAACTTTTTTTGTGTTTTTCTTTATTTTTATCAAATAATTTTTCTTTGTTTTATGTTTAAACGAGTTTCTCAACACTGTTGCGGTTGAATGGTTTTATGTTTCTTTCTTTGGGTCAAAATACAATACAATATTTCAAAAAATCTCGTATATTTTGTTCTTCTAAGTGGTTTTTTTTTTCCTATTTGTTTTTGTATTTTGTTTTGCTGTCGTAAAATTTGTTGTTTTTTTTTTCGCAATTCTTGTATCCTATCATATGAATATATGTTTCATTAATTTATACAATTTCTAATTGTAAAAGCAAACAATCTTACACGGGGATCATACAATCGTTTTTTTTTTTTGTTGCGTCTTTAGGATGGTTTTTTTTCTCTGCATTGCATTTGGGACCTTTTGAGGGAAAGCGTTCTTCCCCGTAAATCTACTTATTAAAGGTTTATATTTGTTCCAATAGTTAATTAGAATATTGTTTTATTTATTGTTTTTGTGTGTTTTTTTTCATAATTCTTAAAGTTATGTTGTGTTTTTTAATTTTTTCAGTATGTGGTTTCAGTTTTTTTCGTTTTTGTTTGTTTTGTTTGTTCTATAATTAAAAGTAGTATATATGATGCATAATTAATTTGCTTTATAATTATTAAATGTAAATGTATAATTATAGAATTTGCATCGAGAAACACAATTACAGGGGCTTTAACAGTTGCTATTCATTCTTTTGTTTTTGTTTTCCAACTACAGCTTTTAATATTTGTCCATTTTGTTTCCTTTATTTTAAATAAAATTTTAACATGGTAAATAATAAAGAAGTTTACACATTTCCCTCGTGAAAATAGGATTTTTTTTAAACAGAGCAAAAAAAAAGTCATATGAGTAATGAAAATGCTTTTACTGTTTTTTTTTTTCTGGATGAAGTGTATTTTGTTTTAGTATTGGTTTTGTTTCTTCTCTCTGCTTCGGTCGCTCTTCCACAAGCCGCCACAAGGCCGGTGATGTTCTCTTCGTTCTCTCTTTCTTAGTTCCTTTGTAAACGCTTTGTAGCTACTGTACTAGTACTATTGTTAGTAGGATGATTATTGAGTGTGTTTGATTGATCATAAAAACGTATTAAATAAAAAAAATAAAAAATTTACAATACATTTGCCTGTTGTAATCAAATAAATTTCTCTTAAACGCGCCGCCGCCAAATTGGAAAATAAATCTCTCTCTCTCTTATACAAATGTCGATTGTGAATGGACATGACATTTCAATTGCAATTCACAATGGGATTAGGATTTGTGTGTGTCAGTGTGTTGTGTGGGGCATCTCTTCTCTGCTCCTTTTCTTCCGACTAGTTTATACGAAGTTTTCTGCTGCTTGATCGCGATTTTACATGTAAAAAACCTGATTAGTGGACGCTACGCATAAACTAAAATTGCTTTTGTTTTCTTCATATATTTCTACATATATGTATAATTTTATTTTCCATATTTTGCATAGCTGTTTCGTGTTGTTGTTTTGTTGCTTTTGGCTTTTCATGGCGGCTACAATTGGTTTTTTTTTTAGAAATTTTTTTCTTGTATTTGTCTGTGATATATGTAATTTATTAGATTTGCATTTTGGTAACCTGCTCCAGAGCCTGCCTAGCCTAGTCCTTCTAGTCCATCATCGCCGCTCCGCGTTCAGTCCAAGATGACCAGTCACCAAAATGTGTTTAAAAATTGAGGAATCATCCTCCTTTAGGCCAGTGTTGGGAACTGGCGCTCATCGTTCACCTTGGGGGCGGTATTCTGTTGCCGCTCATTACCGAAACGCTTGGCCAAGCCACCAGAAACGCCACCACCACCAACGTTGTTGGGTCCAGGACCACGGCGCTCAATTGGCGGCCGGTTGGTTGGTGCCGAGGGGGCACCACCACCAGCAGCAGATCCTTCCTCAGTGTTCTGGCGAGGACCTGATGGCGGGCCATCACGGGGTCCATCACGTGGCCCATCACGTGGTCCACCACGGTTGCCGCCCTCGGGACGGGGTCCATCGCGACCAATACCACCGCCGACACGTGGTCCGCCGCGACCACCGCGTCCTCCAAAGCCACCTGGTCCGCGACGACCGTCATTGAAGTTAAACTGGATGTTGAGAACGCGCTGCTGGCGGCCAACGCGCTGTGGGTACATGGCAGGGTCGTATTCAAGTTCCTCTTCGCTCTCATTCTCCTTCTTTTTGTTGCTGGTCAGCACGACCATCTTCTTCCACTGCGATGTGTCCTCACCTGGAGAAATGCACACAAGATTTCAATTAGTATTAGTATTATCCCCCACCCCATTGGGCTATATATATATATATATCGCACCTTCTCCAGCCTTGCGTATGTTGAAGGTGGGCTTAGCGCGCTGCCCCTGCTGTGCCTTCCATTCGTCCAATGTCAGCTCTTTGGTCTCTTCCTCGGCGGCTGCCTGCTGCTCGCTCTGCTGCTCATTTCCCGAATCGTTGGCCTTGTTCTCGCCCTCGGCATTGTTCACACTTGTCTCGCTTTCGTTCTTGTTGACATCATCAATGGCCTCCTTGACCGAGCCCCAGTTGTGGGCACCAGCTCCATCGCGCTTATCAATTGACTTAACACCTGCAAAATAAACCCATGCATTAATAAAACTATTATTTACAGGAGAGAGAAGCCAGCAAAGCAAGCATCTAAGGATTCACATCAACAGCAGTTCGTCTACTGGAAATTCGAGAACTTTGAAACTAAAAGTAAGTTTATCTGCTGCATAAATGTTTTGTTTTCCCCCAACTAATTGTTGTTTATTTTACTCTTACAGAAGCAAAGCGGAAATCTTTTTGATCTTTTTTTGGTGAGTGTGGATAGAAATTTAAAACTCAAGATGATTTGTATTTGTACTTCTTTGTATATGTTAAGCTAAGTTCTTTGAAACCGATATATGAGTAGCCGATTGTAATTCAAATATCAAATCAACTCCATTGTTATAGGCATGAAAACACTTCAAGGGGAATCACCCTTATGGCCTTTACCTTGGCATAGTGATAGCACATTCTAAACGTTTTTATGTGCTGTTTGTAATAAGATTATATAGAATATAACACCACTTGCTCTGCAGCGCCCTGAACAAAATGGGCCTCCTACAATCATATTCTTTGCGGCGTGCTTGGTTTGTGGTGGTGGTGAGCGAAGAAGAAAACGTTGCCAGCGAAAGACGCGCGAACTATTTTTAACACATTTTCACATATTCCCACTTGGCGGCGTGTGAAGGGGGGAGATTTGATTTTCTCCTTTGCTTTGCTTGAACTTTTTGGGATTTTAATTTTGGATATTCCAAAAATGAAATGGGTGAAAGAAAGATGGAAAGGAGATGATGGAGGTACTTGGCTTGGTTATATAGAAATTGAAATTCGTATGTTTTCCGATCAATATTAATTTGGCGGCTGATCCACCACCACCACGTGAGAGCAATAAATCTATTTCGTTGTTTGCCTCGTGGTGTGTCTGTCTCTCATTTGTTTTTGCTGCCTTAATTGGTTTACACGTTTCGCAAAGTTTTGCAAAAAATGTAATTTTTACAAGCAAAATAATGATTATGAAAGTTATTTGTGTGCAAATAAATGTTGTACGTCTTGGAAACAAGAAATAGATTAATTCTTGGACTTGGACATAATCATGACAATTGAATAGGTATAAACAATGGAATGTCTGTCTGTTTTTTGTTCCCTTTCCTGACTTTGCGCCCGCCCGCTGATTTTGTTTCTGGTTGTCATGGAACAAATGTTTTTTTTTGTTCGTACAAATTTGCAGTTCATTTTTTTTTTCTGTTGGTTTTCTGGTGGGCGGGAATTTCTGTTTGTGTGGTTATGTTTGTACGCCATGCCATGCCATGTCTGGTGGTTGGTACCGTACCCCTGCGCCCTGGACTAATATTACTCACCAGTTTTGTCGGATCCAGACTGACGATCGAATTCCCGCTTCCTGTTCTGTCCATCAAAGTTGCGGTTCTGGCGAGGTGGGCGATCACCGCCAGCACCACTGTTGCCCTGGCCGCGATAGGGACGGGGCTGACCATCGGGTGGTCCACCAGGGCCATTCTCACGGACATTGCGACGATTGTTGCGCTGCTCACGTGTTTCGTAGTTGCCATTATTTCCATTGCCACCGCGCTCGCCGCCTCGCTCGCCGCCGCCATTCTGTTGACGGAAGTTCACGTTGCGTTCCCGCTGCTGACCCTGTCCCCGTTGTTCCCGCTCTTGTCCCTGCCCTTGACCAGTGCCAAATTCACGTGTTCTGTTGCCAAAGCCGCCACCACCTGGACGGGGAGCACCGCTGCCGCCGCCGCCGCCGCCTTGCTTATAACCGCCGCTGCTGTTGTCTTTGTTGAACTGTTTGTCCGTGGTCGTAGCTGGCTTCTTGCCCTCGTTGTTGTTGTTATTTTTGTTTAGAGCATTCGGTTTGTTCTCCTTTTCGGCCTGATTTGGTTTCTTAGCATTTGGTCCTCCGCCAACGGCTGCTGTCTTGGCCACCTTGGCGGCGCCACTTTTGGTGGCTCCTCCCGATGCGGCAGCTGCTGCACCGCCCGCGGCAGGCTGTGGCTGCTTCTTCTTGCTGGCTGCTGTTGCCGCTGCTACGGCAGCGGTCGCCGCCACAAGATTATCTAATGGATCGCTAACATCATCGTCCATGAACAAGAGTTCATAACGATTTTTACCGGCGCTATCCATGATTTGTGAGGTTGCTGTGGCTCTTGGCTCTGCTTTGCTTGCCTGCAAAAGAATTTTTACACAGTTCTAAATTGATTTTTCTTTCCTGCACACCCTCTCCACGCACACACACACACACACACGACACACGGGGCACACGATGATTTATGCAAACGAGAGTTGAGTTTTCTGTCACACAATGGAAATGGGGGAATCGCTTGGTGTGTCGCTTGTGCACACGGAAAACTAGATGTTTTTCATTTGCTCAATATAATTAGTGTGCTGCTGGTGCGTGTGCAATGTAGTTTGAGGTGTTTTTTTTTAATTTTGTTTCGCTTTGCGCGGATTTTTCCTTACTTTTCTCGCTGGCTGTTGGTGGCTGCTGCTCTCTAACCTTAATTTTCAGCGTTTCTTCTTCGCCTCGCTGCTAGTATTACCTACACACACACGCTACGACTGCACACGCACATGGCCTGCTCACGCACACAGTTAGGCAAGCCCACATGTGTTCTTGGTATACATAGAAAAACAGAAACTCACGTTTTTGCTGCCCGCGTCGCCAGTGGAATGGCAAACTATCGGGCCAGTTGTCAGATATGGAATCGGGTGGTGGCTACTCTGCCCACTAATAATTCAGGTGGCAACCCTACTCAGTCGCAGAAATTGAACATTTAATTGGGAAAAAACTGAAAAAATATATATAGAGGAAAATATTAATTAAAATTAAATTAAATTAATTAAATTGCGGGTGTAAAGAAAAATTAATTCTGTGTTTTTGGGGTTTGTTGGAAATCGGCTATCGGTTTTTCAGTCTCTGGCGCCAGAATTAACATTTTAATATTATTAACAAGTTTTTACATCTATTTCTTTTAAATAATAATAAATATACAATAAATTGTAGCCAAATAATTTGCTTTAATAGATATAAGCTGTTGAAAATCATTTAATTGCGGTTTTTAGGGATCTAGGAAATTGGTTATCGATTGTTTTGTCTTTGGCGCCACTTTAAAAATTTAACGTGTTATTTTTATTCGAAGATATTTCTTGCAGATTTCGCTATAACTATGTTAAATTTTACATTTCTGTATTTCAGATAATAGAAAAAAAACCACTTGAATTTTACCAAAATGTCTGACTGGGAAAGCGAGGTACACGCAAATTTTTTTTCAAACAAGCATAGTCCAATTTCTAATGAATTTCTCTGCAGGAATTTAACGCTTCGAAAGGAGTGGCAGCCTTGCAAGTGAAAGGTTGGAGCGACGACGAGGAGACGCCCAAGAACACCGAAAGCCGTGGAGGAGGCGACGGTAATGGTGGCGGTTATCGTGGCAACCGCGATGGCGGAGACGGAGGTGGCTTCCGTGGAGGACGTCGCAATGGCGAGGGAGGTGGTGGTGGTGGCGGCGGCGGTGGATATCGTGGACGTCGCAATGATGATGAAGAAGGAGGTAAAAATTGATCTTCTTTTTTTTTCCTTTTCTTTTCTAGCTAAGAAATCTTTTTAAGTTTAGATATAAGTATGTGTTTGTGTGTTTGTTTTGTGATGTGCTTTGTTTTTTCGTTGTCCTCCCATTATACTGCACGGTCCGACATCTTCACTTCATAAGGCTGCCAATCAGTCAATTATGTGCAGATGAAGATACCTGCAAGCTGGGACAGGGATGTGGTGATCTCCTTCCTCGATCAACTCGATCTGCGGGCATATACCACAATGGCAAAGGTGCGAGAGCTTCGAGACTACTTGCTCAAGGCCTTCAAAGAGCTGGTGAACAGCGAATGGGATGCCCTGCAGCTTCAGGATCGCAAGGAGCGCGAGAAGGAGGCGCGACAGATTCGCGGCTCGTCAGACCAGTCAAAGCGCATTCTAGATGAAATCAATAAAATTCTCAACCAGACCGAATCTGGTCCAAGGCAGGTGGAGAACATGTTTAGGCAGCTCCGCGAAATGAGAGCAAATGATCCACATTCGAATGATGATTTCGATCAATTTGTGGTACCCAGATCTCGTCCGAGCAGAGAACGACAAAGCAGCGCCAGAGGTCGTGGCTCTGTGGCCACATACACCGGGGCAACCGAACAAGTTCGACAGATCAAAGATCTCTACAGAGCCAGCCTTGTCCTGTTTGGGGCAAATGAAGGAGATTTAAACCGAAATGAATCCTCGTCAGAGGATGAGTCTGCAGCAGCAGGAACAGCAGCAGGAGCAGGAGCAGAACCACCTCTTGCCACTTTTAGCGCGGCAAGATTTCCCCGCTGGCTCAGTGAGAACTTTATGCAGCTGCACACGACACGAGCGGTAAACATGGGCGTAGCCAGTGAGCTGCACAGTCGACGAGCCTGGCCAGATGGTTGCCATGCACTACCATCGGCTTGGCTGGACGATCGACAGCCCAGACAGCTAAGTTTTTCATTTTTGGCAGAGACTAGTCAGCAGTGGGAGCAGCAAGAGCAGATGGAGATGGATCAGCAAGAGCAGCCAGCAGGTGAACATGGCATGGGATACACGAGCACACCGGCCAGCAGCCTGATGACCAATGTGGCGCGTGAGCAGCAGTCGCAGAATCGGGACAGCACCGATGTAGCATTTTTGAGTCGCTACGGATCATCGCGCGACCAGGAAGGCGTTGCACGTGTCGCCTCATCATCCACCCCACTAACACCTAACATCAATTACGGGTATTTAACACAATAAGTCAAGCCTATCTCTCCCACTCTCTCCCTCTCTCTCTCTTTCTGTTTGATCCTCTTGGATTGTTTTTCCCCCCACTTACCTTGGATCCTCTGGAGTGGCGTACGATGCAATCAGATCTTGCACAACAAAAGAACGTACGGGGAGAACGTTTAGAAAAATCAGGAAACACAATTTATTCAATTTTATTTTCTTTTCTTTTTTAATCTTTTTTTGTTGTTGTTTCCCGATAAACCCTGACACGACTGTTACTGGCAAACATCTGAACCGAGGGCTACTGAGAGATTTTGATTTGTATTTGATTTAATTAATTTTAAAAGGGATCTAAACGCAGGCCGCCTACTACGCCCAGTAAACCTTTCGATTCAATTCCAAAATGATTTTCTAAGCAAATTCGAGCAAAAACATTTTAATGACTATCAAGAATCCAATTAAAAAAATCGAGATAGAGTTATTTGCAAACAAATGTTTTTCTAGATTATTTTGTACTAAAATAAGCTACATTCGACGCCAGCCACACTCGTCTTTCAAATCAATCCACTGACTGTCTGTCTCTTCCGACTATCTTTTCCTGAAGAATCTTGTTTCCGTTTCATTTCCGAATCTGCTTTGATTATGAAGTACGACCAGCAGTAGAGGCAGCAACTAACACACAAACCCTTAATGTATGAACGTTCCACAGCTTGGCATTTGTGCCGACATCGTCGAGTCTGCAGCCCGAAGAGGATAACACTCCTTTGATGCCAGGATCCGGGGGTGCACTCTCGCTGCCAGCAGATTCTGCATCGGACTTGCTGTTGATGGACAGCGGCAATCAACTGCCGATGCTCATGTCGCCCGCCATAGAGGACTTGGGTTCAGCAGCGGCGGTTCGCTCTCGACCTGGAGTCACACCGTTTCGTCCCTTGTTGCCAGTGATCGACGAGGAGCATCGCCTCTCTATGTTGCCGCGTGTGCTGGAGCGGTCGTTTCATCCACTATCAGCAGCAGCAGTAGAAGCCGCAGCAGAAGGCACACCAGAGGCGTCAGCAGAGCGACCCTTAGAAGCAATAGCAGAAGACACGCCACCAGAAGCGGTAGCGGCGCGAGTTGCGCCTATTACCCCACCACTGACACCGGGACGTGACTGGAGTAGAATATTTCGACCACGCGACCAAATGCCGAGCTATGTCGAAACGCGAAATGTCCCACCACACGGAAGAAGCCGACGTCCACGACGCCAGAGATTACCGGAAACGCCGCCAAGGGACACACACGACGAACAGCCGCGATTGAATCGCGAGATCACATCGAATTTTATGGCCAATTTACTGCAAAGAGCTACAGAAATGGTCAGAGTTCCGCTGCAGATGGTAAATTATGCACCAACTACGACTGACTCCTTCACGGCTCCTCCGCCCGATGGGGTGCCACAGCAGATGGAAGTGCAGGAAGAGCCACTGCCAGCAGAGGCGCCACTACCAGCAGAGGCGCCACTACCGCCAGAATCATCTCAAGTTGCTCTAGTATCGGAAGCTCATGTGGATCTACCGGCTCTTCTCGATCCCTCCATGCCAGAAATCCAAAACGAAACGTTGCCCAACAAATCGGATTACGGAGTACCGAATATGGAATTAATGGAACCCCTGCCGGTGGCTGTGTCCATGGAGATTTCCAACGAGGAGAGACAGCGCGCGGTCTCTTTATCCGACTTGAGTATACACGCAATCGTCACCAATGTGCAAGTTCTGCCACCATTGAGCCTGGGCACCGAAAACCTAGTACTACGTCCAGCTATTGAACAGGCTGGAGGATCAGCAGAATATCCAGCCATAGAACAGGCAGGAGGACAAGCACAATGTTCAGCCATAGATCAGACAGTAGGATTAGCACAATGCTCAGCCATAGAACAGGCAGTAGGATCAGCAGATCAGAGTGCGGAAAATGCAGTCGGGCCAGGATTGTCTTTGCAGCGGACGGAAACCATCGAGGATCGTCGGAATAGACAGCACATGGAAGATATGGCTTACATAGCGCAGCATACGGACATGCTCCGTGTGATGGTCGATCATCAGAAGAATCTCAGCGATCAGCAGCATACCCGCGGAAGCGAGCAGAGCCAGTGGCTCATCGCAACAGTATCGCTCCCTAGCCGCTGTGGAGACCTACGATCCACGGATCATTTTGGATATGCCACTGTCAAAGGTGGAGCTTGTCCATGCACTATTTGAGGCGCTCATCACGTTGCCACGGGTTGATTTGCACAATGCACCGTTCATCAAGAGCCGCATGGATGCGTCGAGAGCCTTTCGCTATGTCCTGGACTTGCAGGCGGCCGGCATTGTGAAACTAAGCGATGAGGGGAGATTCTGTTGGCTGCTTTGAAAGGGGTGGAGAGAGCTTGAAAAGTTTGTCTTTTCTTTTTAATTTTAATATTATATTACAGATATTATTCTATATATTTCAAAGCTGAATAACAGTCAACGAATATAAAATGGAATTCTTTTCATTTATAATTTTAAAAGTTTTCAATTAGGCTTTAAGGTTTACACCACATATTGTACCAGCAAGAATTTCATTTGCAGAATTTATATTAATTTCATTGAAGAATATATATTTTTTAATTTAATGTCCAATTTCTGTATTATTTTTAATTATTATACATATTTTAAATGTTTTTAAAAACTTTATAGATTATGTGTGTTATTTCTTGATTTTGTTTCTTCTTTTGTGTATTTTTAAAATTGAATATTTACTAAAAATGTATTTATAATTCAGGCGAAGGACGTCGCGGCGGCTTTAATCGCGACCGTGGAGGAGATCGTGGTGGTGATCGCGAGGAGCGCGGTGAACGAAAGGAACGTCGTCGTCGCAACGACGATGATGAGGATGACGTAAATAACAACAAGGGCGACGATGTCGGCGAAGATGGAGAGAAGAAGCGCGAGTTCTACATCCCGCCAGAACCATCCACCGACGAAGCTGAGATTTTCAGCACGGCCATATCATCGGGAATCAATTTTTCCAAATATGATAATATTCCGGTGAAGGTAAGTTGGTTTATCCACGGCCATTTTTTAAGACTTACTTTAATTTGGCGCACTTTAATTAGGTAAGCGGAAATGATCCACCAGCTGCCATTACGAAGTTCGAGGATTTCAAGCTGCGTGACATAATCGCGGCAAATGTGACGAAATCGGGCTATAAGTTGGCCACGCCCATTCAAAAGGTCGCCATACCGGTGATCAAGGCTGGCCGTGACCTGATGGCCTGTGCCCAGACTGGTTCTGGCAAGACGGCCGCCTTCCTTTTGCCGATACTCAGTAAAATATTGGATGACGGCAATGATCTGGAGATTGGCAAGCCGCAGGCTGTGATCGTATCGCCCACCCGAGAGTTGGCCATTCAAATCTATCACGAGGCCAGAAAGTTTAGCTACGAGTCGTATTTGAAGATTAGCATTTTGTATGGCGGCACCTCGGTCAAGTACCAGAACGAATCGATTATGATGGGATGCCATGTGCTGATTGCCACCCCAGGGCGTCTGCTTGATTTTGTGGAGCGTACCTTCATCACGTTCGACGATACGCGCTTCCTTGTCATGGACGAGGCCGATCGTATGCTGGAAATGGGCTTTGCGGAGAGCATGCGCAAGATTGTCAATCACTGCACGATGCGCGCCGAGCATCAGACTTTGATGTTCTCGGCCACATACCCGGAGGAGATACAGCGCATTGCTGGCGAGTTTCTCAACAACTATATCTTTGTGACCATTGGCGTTGTGGGCGGCGCTTGTTCGGATGTGAAGCAGACGATCTATGAGGTCACCAAGTACAATAAGCGCGCAAAGTTAACAGTAAGCACTAACAGACCACCAGCCCAGCCCAGCCCCCGCCCCCGCCCATTAACCATTGAATATGCCTTGTATGATTGATTAATTTTTCAAAGGAACTTTTGGAGGAGTGCGCCGATGGCACCATTGTCTTTGTTGAGACCAAACGTGGTGCAGATTTCCTGGCTTCGTTTTTATCGGAAACCGAGTTTCCCACAACTTCGATCCATGGCGACCGACTCCAAAGTCAGCGCGAGCAGGCTCTACGGGACTTTAAGAGTGGCCGGATGAAGGTACTCATTGCCACATCGGTTGCATCTCGCGGTCTAGGTAATCTATTAATTAATAATTCATATGTATTTTCCGATTTATAATGCCCTATCAATCCCCCCAGATATTAAGAACGTGAAGCATGTCGTGAACTACGACATGCCCAAGGGCATTGATGACTATGTCCATCGTATTGGTCGCACCGGGCGTGTCGGAAATAATGGTCGCGCCACATCGTTCTTTGATGTCGAACATGATTCGGGCTTAGCCACAGATCTGGTGAAAATTCTTGAGGGATCTGATCAGGAAGTGCCCGATTTCCTGCGCGCCCTGGGCAGTGGCTATGGCGGCGGTGGCGCCTCTCAGTTTGGTGGCTACGATGTTCGTGGTAGTGTAAGTAGATTTTAAATAGCAGCATTTAAAAGTCCCAAATGGCTGTTACTAATGATGTTTCCACTTCCTATTCTCCACAAAACAGGGCAATGCCATCCAGGACGCTGATGCTGTCGAAGATAACCAGGAGTGGGATTAAGTCACTCCAATTCCATTTCAAAATATATCGGACTATATTTAATCATATTTGACTAGTTATCAGGCTTTTATATATATATAAAAGTAAAATATATATAAAGAGAAGAAGCCCAGTAAATCATTCAACGATATTCATTGCCTTGCATAAATTGGCACATATTCAAATAAAATAATAATTCCTATGAACAATTATGTACCTTTTTTTTTTTCTTGCTCTAAAATTATAAACAATTTAAGCAATTATTGGTATTGGTTTCAGTTATAACTAATAGTACTTTGTGTTTGTAATTCCTGAAATTTATTTAGATTTTATATTAAAATGTTTTATAGTTAGATACCTGTGTATATAGTTGTTGGTCTTGGTGGTGGCTTTCTTTACTTGCATTTTCCCTTTTAGTGACACATTCAGACAGAACCATTTGACAATGAAAGGGAATCGGGAATTTTCGGGAATCAACTTCTTCAAGTACTACAATATTCCAGTCCAGGTAAGTCTCTCAACGGCCATTTAAAAGTGCAGGAAAAATACTAATTTGAAAAATAAAAATTTCTCAATAGGTGAGGGATAATCCAACCAACGAGGATGTCCAGTTGATTGATAATATTGCAGCAAATGGGAAGAGAAAGAACGAAATGTGAAAGCTAAAAGCTGCCGGACTCCCACTTCAAAGGTAGTGATCGTATCAATAATCAAATATTTAGTTAAGGCACCCATCTAACTTAGTCTACTCTGCTACTACTAATAATTGCTCGCTCCTTCCTCCTTCTGTGGCGTACATCTTTCCCTTCAAAACAACATACCCTTCGAGCTCTGCCTTTCTACCGGGTATAATCATATGTTTGTCTTTATGGAATCATCCTTTCATGTTTCATGTTTGTTGTTTGTCTCTCCATCTGTCTTTGCCTTTACTCTCCACGCTCTTTGGCCTCTCTCTCTCTCTGTGGCGGCTTGAAGCCGGCTTTTTGAAATGCCTCGTCTGGCCTCGCCCTGCGTCTGCAATTCGTACCGTACTCCCCGCCCCCCCCAACACACAAACAAAAGCTACGTTTCTGCGTTTTGTGTCTTTGCGGCACACGCACGCACAGCCGAGACCAAAATCAATAAATGGCAAAGCCACCACGCCTCTATGGCTTGGCTGCTCTTCGTGGTGGGATTGCATGCTCTGGCTGCCTCGGCCATGTGGAGGCAGACTGTTTCAGTCTCTGACGGCATTTCCCAGCGTGCAAACACGCGCTTTCGGCGCGCGCTTCCCAACTAAATTACAACAAAAACAAAGAAAAGTAATATTAAACAGTTTATAAATGAAACGAAAGAATATAGAAATTGAGAAATATGAGCGAGAGAGATAGAATTGGCTTTGTGCCTGAAGGCATGTTAACCCAGGGAATAATTTGAGCCTTTTGGCTTTGGCGGATTAACTATTATTAGTGTCTGGTGTTTTTGGTGATTGTTTAACCTAAATGCAAGAAGCGATTATGAAATAAGCAAACAGTTTTCAATGTTATTCCCCTGAATGGGGGGGGTCTAAATGGTTCGCTCCTCTTCAACTGTGAGGACAAACTACGCGTAGTAGTAGTTGTACGCACTTTGAATGGTTGGATGGGTTCTTTTTTTTTTTTGGGAGAGTCCTCGTCTTCGTTGTGGAGGGTAATGACTGAGAACCCACCCTTTTATGTGGCATCGACCAACCCAACTTTTACTAGCCATCAAAGTCTTTGCCGGCAAAGTCTTTGCACAAATTTCTCTTCATTTTTTTTTTACACACTTTTCCTTTGTCGATTGCGTGTTGGATTTTTCTTTTGGGCAGCACGCAAACAAAATTTTGCATTCGTTTTTTTTTTTTTTGTTGTTTTTAAGATCTAATTTGAATTGAGTTTTTTTTGACTAAACTTTCGTTTTCGGGGCCGTATGATTAGTGATTGGTTAACCTTTTGATGACCCATTCAGTGCACTAATTAACACGCAAAAAGTTTATTCCCAGAAACAACAATTAAAAACATTAAATACATAAAAGCGTCAAAACGAAAACAAATTAAACATCCCACAGCCAAAACAAAAACTAGACAAAAATTGAGTCAAAACAAATCAACGAAATAGATTTTGGCACAGTATGAGCCAAAGTTTTGATAGTTCACATGGACGTGGTGGCGGCGGAGGAGGAGGAGAAGGAAGACCTGGAGTTGGTTATCCAGAGCGTCAATGCTCGGAGGATGTGCCCGAATCCACAGCCACAGCAGCAACCACGACGGGAACAGGAACGCCAACGACAACAACAACAGCCGGAGATGGACGACAAGGAGTAGGAGTGGGAGCCGGCGGAGTCGGAGCTGGAGGAGAGGATGATTTCACCGATGACAACAATTTCGAATCGAATTTGCGACGTCGCAAAGGCAAAATAATATCCTGTGCCAAGGAGACCATCGAGAATGGTGAGACAAGACAACAAATATTTCCTTTTCCATATCCACTATATACTATAGAATATATGCTGCTATCTATCCTAGCTACATACATATATATCTCTTTGTATATGCGTTTGGCATGTGTAAGCAGATGAATATTTGAGTGGCAATTGCTTTCAGCCATCCGTAGACGAAGAAGAACTGCTAGACCTATTCATTTGTCGTGGATAGAAAATAGAACATTTCGTAGGTAGCGGCAGAGGGATAGGTGGTACGAAAGCGTTTGTGTGCTTACCACCTGCTACATGGCTACGTGGGGTGAAGTCCTGGCATATCCGTTTTACGCTTTTTTTTTCCTTTCTTTAATCAAAAATGCTTGACTTGACTGAAACTTTGATTGGATCCGAGTTGTGTTTTATGAGTTCTCGCTGCCAGCGCACGAACTTTCAACATTTCATTTATTATATTTAAAGTTTGCTCAACTTTAAAGGCTGTTGCCCAGTGGCAATCATTTTTAGACCATTTAGGAAAAGTTTTTCTAATATTAATTATGAAATATTTCATATGTGTGGTGGGGGAAGAGCGGTTTAATGGTCTTGAAATATTCTTAATTTTCTTTCTTAATTTTCGTTCAGGTCGTTGATGAGTGTGGGTGGGATATATATTATATAGTATAAGGAGAAAATATATTCCCTAAGACTTAACTCTAAATAACAGTATTAATCGGGAATATATTGATGGGTTCTCTCATTCTAGGACTAAATTCAAAATTCGATGTCTAAAACATTATTCTCTTTAGTCAGATAGACTCTCATTCATTAAACTATCATAATAAATCATAAACTACCAATTAAGTTTCATTTAAATGTAGACTAAATGTCCTTAAAATATTTAAGCTCTATTACCATTTGGCCGTTAAACCTTTACGGGAAAAGGACACCCTTTCAACCACAATTTAATGCTCAACATATTTATGTATATTTTTTGTTTAATGGTGAACAATAACCTCTAGTTGACCCACTCGTTTCATTCGAAATTAACTTTTAAATTTGATGGGGATGGGGATTTCCAACTCAACCAAGCGAAACTGCTGGTGTTTTAGCATTTCTTGCACGCACCAACTATCAAATTACCCTAAAATGACTTTCAGATTGTCGTACTTCCTGTCCTGTGCTGTGCTCCAGTTGTTGCTGTCAACATTAGACAAATAAAACTAACTTTGCCATTGGATGCCGCCTCACTGTCGTTTTGTGTCTGATGGCGGAGCGAACACAGACGCTCCAAACGCCATTGTCCCAACGGAGTCTTTTGTGCTGCTGAAAAAAAAAAGCTATTGAAAGGCGTCGTCTGCAAAAGAAGAATAAGAAGGAAGGCGCAATTTGAATTATTTATGTAGCCGTCGACAAAGAAAATGCGCTTCAAGCGATGCATTCGACTTGCCCCTTGCTGCTGCTGCTGCTGCTGCTGCTGCTGCTGCAGAATGAGGGTGTAATGTAGGGGTTACTATTCCCATTGGTTTCTCTTTAATTGATTGGGCTGGGCGTCTGGCTGACGGGCGTTAAAAGAACTTTGTTGCGAGGCTCCTCCTTGCAGGGCGCCTTGCGAGTCTCCTTTCATTGTCTTGTGTCTTGCAGTGGGTGGTGGGCGTGAAAGCTCGCTTTATTAGTAGCTGAATGAGCAAATGGATTAACTAGTTTAGTTCAAGTGTTTGCCCCATTCGAACTGATTGTCTGCCAGTTGTTGGTGGGGCATATTTCTTCTTTGGCGCGCAGTTAATTAATTTGATTAGCTTTTATGGGTCAAGGTTGTGTTTGTCATCGATTCGAAGTGTGCTTGCAGTGCGTGTGTGCGTGTGTGGATGAGTGATGTGTGTCATGTAAATAATTTCGTATATGCATTCTCCCATACGGAATTTATGGCCACAAGGCATTTGTTATTATCATATATGCATTAGAAGGGTGACAGGACCAGGACTCTCCAAGTCCCCCCGACCCTTTAACGGGGGTTGGTTTGTTACACTGGAAATACTACGAATATCAGTATAAAGAAATAATCAAAGTTCAATGGGGGTTTCTTTCACTGGTAATTGTTGGTTTGGCGAGTGGGTTTTCTTGTCAATGCAGATATCTAGGACGCATATTACGTTGCTTTAATTTGACACTTGGAATTCAATTAGTATTAGAACTTGAGTTTAACTTTATTTGTCTTATAATTTTCTCAGAATTAGTAGCCATTGGCTATTGCAGATGCCGATTGGGCTTATTTTTAAATTTCAAAAATTGGCTCCGTTCTCTTTTCCATTATTAATATCTGAAAATTTTGGGCCGTGGTATATTAAATGATGGATATCCAACCAAAACTAGAATTTCTTTCGCAGGCAGCGTAACTTCTTATATTTTCCTTCGTCATCGCTCTTATCATCATCAATCTTGTGTGTGTGTGTGTGGATTCTCTCGCAATTTGCCCTAACAAGCTCGCTGTTTCCGTTAGAATTTCTAATAAAATTCCATGGTCTCTCTACTGCCACTTCGTTAGCCGTGAAAATTGCGCAACGATTTTTCCAACGTGTTGTGGCGTTTTCTAGCTCAGGCTTATGGACTCTCGGACTCTCACCCCCCTGGTATCTGGTATGGCCTGAACCAACACACACGTGAAGCCCAAACCCTCTCTCTCTCTCTGTGGGCTTCACCTCATCAGGCACTTTGTTCGCTGGGTGTTTCAGGAAGTGCGCGGATTTACGTGTTGCCAAAATGGCAGACATGACTTTTAAACTTTACTGACAGTCTGGCAGAACCGCCCACAGGCAGATAGGGTGACGTGGCTAACATATGGGAATGGGGGGGTTCTACCACTAAACTGCCCCCCGACAACTGCATTGCGTGCGTTAGAAATTAGATGAAAATTGCCCAAAGACTCGAATGGGCCATCGATTTTTGTCGCGGCTCTCCTTGTGCATTGCATATCGCTTCCATGTCTGGTCTGGTCGGGTCGTGTCTTGTCTGAGTAATGGAATTGAAATAAAACTCCACTCATATCAATCGTTAGCTTTTGTGGCCCCCATTTCTTTGTCCTGGTCTGCTTGCTAACCCACGTAACGACCCATTGTCGTACTGTCTGTGTTTTTTGTTTGTCTTTTTTTCTTTCCTATGATTGTTTGGCTGTCATTTTTATTTGCGATTGCCTCGGGCCACCGACTGGGAAATGTCTGTGCTGTGGCTGCCAGCGGCATTGATGGGCGGGCGTCATATCTACGCAATCCACTCATACCAACCATTTTCCACCAGTAATACTGAGTGCTATCCGAGCTATTGTATACAAACGCACTGCATCTGACAGTTAACCTCTTTTTGTGGTGTGGTTCAAGTGGGGGAAAATACATTTCTGTGCTTTAAAATTATTGTGGAATATTATTTATTTGGTCAGAAGTTTGGCTGATGGAAAATAATATTTTAACTTTTGCTGAAACATTTGTACTTGCTTTGGAAATGTCAATAGTTTTGATACATTTTAATAGGTGTTGTTGGAGCGGTCTAGATAAATATATTTTGTGTTTTCTGTGTGTGTTTCGTACAATTTGTATTTTAATTATTTTCAGCTAATATTTTAGTTCAATATTGATATTTATTTAATTCCTCAGACATATTTAGGAGTCTATGGAGTGAGTAAGAAATACGAGTAGGTAAATAAATATTTTGTATTTAAATTGTATTGTGTTGTATTCGAGTTTTAAATCGAATGAACGTCTGAAGTGCTTCCATTTATAACTCCCTCGCGGGAAGCGTACATATTCCCATTTGCATATTTTCTTAGTGCATTTTTTTCGATCCATTCGTCAGTTTTGAGCTGTGGAATAATCAGTTATTCATAATTTAATATTTATATTTAATTTTTATTTATTTATTTAATAATTTAATATTTATTTATTTATTTAATAATTTAATATTTATTTATTTATTTAATAATTTAATATTTATTTATTTATTTAATATTTTTTTTATTTAATAATTTAATATTTATTTATTTAATTATTTAATAATTTAGCTTTGAACAAAGAAAAACATGGAGTGGGATATTCTAGAATTACTTTCTTAGCTAAAGACTCGTTATTAGTTTTCCCAGAGCTACTTTTCAGGCTCTTATTGATTTAGCCTAGCGATTTGTTCTTCCTCCATTAGTTTTGCTCAAGTTTCGTTTTTTATTTGAGCTCCTTTAAAGCTGAAACAACCCATCTTGAGTAGTATACGCCGCCTGTGTACATATTTGTGTTCGCATTTGGATTTCTTTAGAAACTTGAAACCCTTTTGACCTGTATTTCTATTTTGCGTAGGCACAGACCGACCTCCTTCTTACATTCACTTTCCATGGCTTGTGGCTGTTTCTTCTACGTTTTCAATTTCATTTCAGTAAGCTTTTACCAGCAGACCCATTGATCTTGGGGCATAGCATATTTCACTTGGCTTCCGAGACTCACTTGTGCCTGTGTGTGTGTTGCAAACGCAATCTAAGCCAAACAAAAGCCCCATGTAATGTTTATATAGCCGACTTCTTCGTTGTGTGTGTGTGTGTTTTTTTTTTTGTTCCATCTCAATATTAATGCCTTTGTCTAAGGAAAAATCTTTTGGCTCAGCGTGTGGCAAATATGGAGCACAAAAAACCCATAACAAAAAGTGGATGGAAAAGCTTTGTGTGTTTGTGTCAGACTTGCAGTTTTTAGCTGCACACTAAACGAGATGTTGATATGGAGGGATGCACTTGAATTTGTGTGTGTAATTGGGGAAAGAGGACACAGACCCAGAGACACGACCCCCAATGGAGATTAAACCCATGCTCTGAGGCTCGGCCCCCCTCACCGACCGATTATATAGCCATTAGTTTGTCGGCTGCACTTTGGCTTAGCTTTAACGGCAAACTGATTTCGTAAATCAGTAGATTTTAATGGCCTTTTCATTGTTTGTGCTGCTTGCTGTGCATTCTTTATGGCGTTTAAGTGCGCATCCGTTTCCCGTTGAAAAATTGATGGAGATTTC